TTGGCCTTCCAGAAGAGGCAAGCTATCGGCCCAAAACGCCCGGCGACGGCGGCCGCAGAACGTAGACCGAGACCACCAAGCCGAAAAGGCAACCTTGCAACGCCCAACGCCAGCGGGGGCAACGGGCCTGCCTGAAGCAGGGTGGACAAGCAGTCCGCAACAGCGAGGTCATGAGCAGCCGCGAACTCTGCCGTGGACTCAGGTGGGAGCAAACGCAGGACATGGTTGCACCGAAGAGTGCAGCAGAACAGCACAAGCAGCCAAGAAGCCTCCACGGTGGGAAGACGAGCGAGGAGCGCGCGCTGGCTCGCAGCGAGAGCATTGAGCTGAGCTGCGACAAACTGGGGGGAGCCAACGGGCACAGGCAGGCGATCCGACAAACACAGGATCCCCCCCAATAGCAAATGCGAAGATTCCCCACAGGCGTTCCCATAAGAGCGCTTGCTTGGATCCAGGAACCTTTCTCACCGACGTGCTCCAGGCTGCCCTAAGGTTTTTTTTTTTTTTTTTTTTTTTTTATACATATTTTCTGAGAGCCATATTTTTTTTGCACCTTCCGACCCTTCTTTCTGCAATCTTGTTGGGCCCTAAGCTAAGAACTCTGCAAGGGAAACGCAGCGTCAACGGGGTGTTTGAGCGTCAAGGCGGCATCTATGGTTTGACGGTGGCCTCGGTATACTCCGACAAGGTCCTCGCCATGCTTCAGCGGTGGGTCAACGCTTTTCTTGTTCCAGGCTGAAACTCGCTCTCGCTTCTGCGTGCGCAGCGCACGACATCGCCCTTTCCGGGGGCAGGCGGGGGAAAACAAGGGAAACCAACGCCCGATTGTTGGCCTGCGGTCGTGGTGCAACCTCTGTGTTGGAAGCAGGGCTGCTTTGGCAGCGCCCCTGGCCAGATTGTGACAAGCAGGGGTGACTAGGCTCCTTGCCTGGTCACGAGGCTAGTGAGCACGGGCAACGTCGAGGGCAGCAATCTTCTTTTGACCTTGTTGCCTCGGACCATGTGTGCCCCCGAAGCTATGGCTCGGTGCCTTGCACGCGCGTGGCAAGCACGAGGAACACACCGTTGCCTTGCACATTTGCTGTCAGACACACAAAACAAAACAGATTGCCAAAAAGACCCTACCGCCGTTGCTAGCCGAGTATTGGCTGGCAACACGGCCAAAAAAGCCAAGCAGTTCGAGTCTTTTAAGCAATTCAAAGCCATTCCTGTGCCACTTGAAAACAGGGGTGATGACGGGGATTGCGGAAAAAAAACACGACGCACGCAGCAGGAGACGGCGTGCTTGAGCACCACCAGGTTGCGCGCAGGTAGGCGCTGCTCTTTGCGTAGCGGGGGCGAGCAAGGGGACGTTTTGCAATTGTATCTGTTTTTCTCCAACGCCTCTTTTTGCGACTGCCGGAGGGCGACACGAACAAACCAGCTGCGGAAACCTAAGCTCCTCGGCGCCGCTCCGGGGAAGCCCTGCGGCGACGCGTGCCACGTGCCGCCTTATGGCAACGTGCTGGCCGACGTGTGCTGATCCCGCGGGGGAACTCGAACAGGACCTGGCGCTGGCTGGCCGGGCTGGCAGCAGCTTTTCCACGCGCCAAGCAATCTTCAGCCTTTGCCGGCCACCGCCCACCAACCTCCAGGCCAAGCACGCCAAACCGGCACCGGCTAGCAGCCGGGTAGGTTGTCCGCCGCTTCCTCTCCTCAGCTTCGCGGAGGGCTTTGCCAGGCTCGTGCCAGGCCGGCTACTAGCTCCGTTCCGTTGCGCGGGAGATACCAGCGCGGCATGAACGGCGACCTGGGCGCCGCAGAAAAGCCGGCAGGCCATTCGCGACGACCTCGATCTGGTGCCCATCGCTTAACGGCACATCGAGGCTGAGTGAAGTTGAGGTCGCGGAGGAAGACATCGGTCGAGGGCCGGAACTTTTCCCTGGACGAGGTGGTGGTGAATCGTGGTGAAAGCAACGCCGCCGTCTGGCCCAGCCTGCGGCAACATCAGGGCCCGAGACGCTGGACCAAGGTCACGGAATAACGTCTCAAGGGCCCTGTGGTCGACGACTGTGCAGGCTGCACGCTGCCATCCTCTGGCCATGTCACCCCACTCGCGTAGGTGCTCTTCGAGCGCCGACCCATCTGCGAGAGCGAGCCAGTCCGGCGCCACGAAGCCGGCGTCCTGTAGGGCAGCGGCGGCGCAGCCACAACGGCCGGCCGGGCATGGCCCCCAGCGGGCTCGGCCAACTCCAGCTAAGAGCAGGGGATGTCGTTCGCCTATCACGGGGAGGGTGTCGGCCCAGGATGCCAAGTGTACGGCATGGGCGGTCCAAGCCGCCAAAGAGAAAACTGCAATTGCACTCTCGGGCTAGCCGTGTGGCGGGGCACGTAGCAAGTGGCCAGGCCCCTATAGATTTGGAGCAGGGATTGCGATTTTTTTTCTCCGCGCACAGGGTGACCAAGGCATTCGGCCGCCAGCACCTTAGGCAGTGGCGGAGCTGTGCCATCCAGGGCGTCCTCGCCGGCCCAGGGTGCCCTTTGCGCCGCTGCTGGACGGCCTGGGCCGCGCACGGCAGCCCGCCGCCGCCCGCGTTTAGAGCAGTGCCCGCAGAGCCGGGAGCCATCGGAGATGGGAATGCGGAGTCGGAGCCGCCGAACGGCAAGCGTACGGAACAAGTACGAAGGGACCGGACAATTGGGTGAAGACCGGACGGACAGTGAACAGCCGACCAGCAAACGGGCCCAACCGGCAGAGCGGCCAAGCTGCGTGTGCAGTGACGCCAATGCGTCCGTGCCCGCTCGACGCGACCAGCCTGCGAAGGGTCTCACCCGTCGCAATCCCAGTGCATCCACGCGCGCGCGCGTGAGAGGCCAGGGCCAGTCCCACGATGGTTTTCGGGCAGGGATTTGACAGGGGTTTATCAAGTTGCACTGCGCGATCAAAGCAATGCTGTCTTCCAAGCATTGCTAACATGGTCAGAATGACAGCAACTAAGAGACAGAAACGAAGAAATGCAGAGATAGAAACAGCAACAGGGATTCGAAGGAAACGAAAGGAAGAAACGGAAGGAAGAAAAGGAAGGAAGGAAGGAAGGAAGGAAGGAAGGAAGGAAGGAAGGAAGGAAGGAAGGAAGGAAGGAAGGAAGGAAGGAAGGAAGGAAGGAAGGAAGGAAGGAAGGAATGAAACGAAAGGAGAGGAGAGGAAAGGAAAGGAAAAGAAAGGGAAGGAAATGAAAGGAAACCAAGCGGCACGTCTTGTGGACGGGCGGCACGTGGGCGTACCTTTGAGCGATTCAGCAAACCCCTCATGAGCGTTCAACGTAAAAATGTGAGTTCGGCGTTGGTGAAATGAAACAGCTACGTTGGTGCTGAGCGTTTCCGCAACAGCAAACAACGTCACAAGTGCAAGGTCAAGGCAACACATTGTGGAACAAAGGGCACGGCTAAAGGGCACGGCTAGCTGACGAAGAATTGCCAAACTGTCGATCATGCAGTGTTGAGATGGCATTTGGCGGCACTTACTGGAGGCGACGCCGTGCAGGCGACGCATATGACATGCAACCGCTGATGAGGACAAACCACGGGCACCTGTGAGAGCTTCAAACGCGCTGGCTGCCAGCGCTGGTGCCGTCGGTAGCCGCTGAGCATGGCTGGGCGTTCGCTTGGGCGCGTCCTGAAGGCAAAGCCGCGACTTCAGCAAAGTGAATGTCTTTGGAAGTCCAGACTCAACGCAAACAAAGGTGTGGGAACTTGGGCTATCAAGCATTTTTACATGTTATGCCTCCATTGTCACGACACACAGAAGCAACACCGACCAACAAATGGCCGGTGTACCAAGAGGCACCCGTGAGAAAAGCTTGACGGGGCATAAGAGTGGGCAACGCAGGCTGCAAAAAAGAAAGGTTTTAAGTACAACGTTGGAAGACTGCGGAGTTTCTACGACAACAGTTCTTCAAGACAGGTGCAGCGCACAACTGAAAGAAGGCCTTGCGAAGGTGACGCGTGCCTTGCCATCACAGGGCGGAGCAAGTCCGACCAAACAGCTCCCCGTCGGGTGAGAACTGAACCTGTCACTTTGGGTTGCTTTTCCCCCAGCCCGCGAATGCCACCGGACCGTCCGTTTTTGAATCAGAGTGCTGATGGCGGATGCATCGCAATCGGCTCACGTTGCACCTCGCGAGGTCGCTGGACATCGCGGGATTCAAGCAACGCCCGGTGGTTGTGATTGAATACAAACAGCGCTGTGAAGGCGCTTTGGATTTAATTAAATGGAGACTGGTCAAAGGGAGGCGAACATGCAGCAAGGAAGCCGGCAGAAGTTGGAACAATGCGCGCTGTCTTCGCGTGCCACAACCTGTGTAGCCGGGGCGGTTCAGGTCGTTGCCAGTGTTGATTCACCGCAACATATTCGGCGCGCGGTTGCTGTTTGGTCACGACGGTGCAAGTGCAACGCAAACACCAGCGCACGTCCAGCCGCAGGGGCGCTCGCGCTGCGTACATGCGGCTTGTGCAACCTAAGGGCATCTTAGCATTGACATCTTCTCTCTCTCTCTCTCTATCTATAATATCGCTCTCTTTCTTTCTTTCTTTCCTCGCGCTCTCTCTCTCTCTCTCTCTCTCTCTCTCTCTCAACACACCGCACTAAAGGCGTCCGAAAATCAGACCCCTCAACATCTTTGGCATCGCCTGCAATTTTCCACTCGTGCACGCGCTTCGCTTCCAGAGTCGTCTCTGGCTTTTTATCTTGTCGGCCGCCGAGTTCGCTAATGCTAGTCTTTGGCACAGCTGTGCAGCTTCCGGCAAATATGGGGGAAAAAATGTGCAGGTTTGCTCTCCGGCCGGCTCAACTTACAGAAGGCCCACCGCAACATATTCCCCCGGCATGAACAAGCCTGCCTGGAAACGAGGTCTTATGCTGCCCCCCAGGTGCAGCACATGGGCATCGGGGATGGCCAGTTCCACAAATCGGCTGACAAAAGTTCATGCTCGAGGCATCTGGCCCAACCTCAAGATGACTTGCTCCAGTTCCCGGCCATGTGAACTGCACCTGTGAATTATTTGTTGCGCTTTCTTGCGCCGGAGAAGGGCCGCCCTAGGTCACGAACAAAGTGCATCCTTCAAGTAGTCAAAGAGCGCCAAGTACACCTTAAATCAGCTGTCGCTTCATGCGGTGGACAAACTCGTGATGTCCTGAATTATGGCATGTGGCCAACATGATCTTCTTGATCCCATGTGTACTTTCTCCCATTTTCAGCCATGCCAGTCAGGTGAGCTCATCTTAGTGCAGCATTGCAAAGGCATAGTGCACAAAAGCAATGGCCACGCAACTGCCAAGGGCGCAGCAGGACTCAGTTCTCTCTTCTCAGGGCCGCGCAGTAGTATTCGGCACCGTCTTCACCTCGGTGCTCGACTTTGGGACATGGTGCCGTGCACATTGCAGGTGAACACTTTAGACCACAAGCCGAGAGCATGGAATGTGGAATCGCACTGTTCCATCCGCAAAAATCTAAACGGACTGCCGTCAGGGGCAGAAACCGAATTGGCTTCCATGGCTCAAGGCCGGCCGTCCGGAGATCACTTTTCCAGTGGGCTGTTATGTCCATGGCCCGGGAGGCCCTGCGTAATTCAAGGCGCAGCCGCGGTAGAGGCCGCGCACAACGCCCTCCTGGCAATGACGGAAGTCTAAGCAAGTGGACTCCTGGCCATACTTGATCATGCTTGTGTTGTCTTGTTGAGGTTCAGTTTTCCCATGTTGTTTCTTTTAAAAAAATGGCGGTTCGTGAAAACCGGGCATGGGTGGGATTCGTGTAGCTCGAACAAGTGCATGTCCAAACAACTCTGCGAATCTTGGAAAACAAACAGTACTGGCAGTCTACCCGGCCGGCCAAAAGCTGCGCGCTTGTCAGCTTCTCTTCAATGCGGACGCCTCCTTGTACAGCGTCCACAGGCCGCGCAGGCTGCCTGGGTACTTCTCCTGGTACGCTCGGGCTCAGCGACTTACAGAAACTGCAACTGTGTGCAAGGCTCATGACCTCGGGATGCAACGCACACACCCACACCCAACCTATTTGTTTACACCCACATGGGTATGGGTCACAATGAAACCACCACAAAACCGCAGATTTTAGTCCTTGCTTCCATTTACCAGGGCTTCATTTTGGGTACTTTTGACCCACAGCCACATGGTCTCCCCTGACCTTGTCATTTGTCCGAGCATGCTTCCTGGTAGGGGGCCGACCTTACAAGTTAACCGTGGTGCATTCTTGCGCTCATCTCCAAACGCGCGCAGTCCCTCATTGCAGGGCCGCCCGTCTGCAGCCTTCGACGCCTCATATGCCAGGTGTTAAAAGTAAATGTCTGCATGGGTGTGTCTTCCTTTTAGGGGACGCCCCAAAATCTTGGCTTTCTCTGTTGGTTTTCCTACAAACCACCACAAGAAGGGTCCTCAAACAAAGACAAAGCCGCATTTCTTTGCAACATGCCATAGGGCCCCAATGCCCACGGCGCAAGTTGCTCATCTTCTGTCCATGCCACCAGCCAAAGGCCCCAGCAGGACGTCGAAAGGGTAGACCACAGTCTGGGCCTTTGGACATGGTGAAGGATGGCACGCCATGTTTGCCACATGTACCGTTCAAGGTCCAAGTTTGACGGTGGGGTATTGGATGCAACCTGGCAAGTGAGTCATAAGCAAAGCCTGGTATACAATTGGTCTACCGTTTACCGTGTAAAGAACTGAAAAGGCTGACCGTTGGGACTATCCCTTACCCCCCTGTCCATTTGCAGAGACAAGGAACATGTGGTCTTCCAGGACTCCAGGTTCCATGTTAGTCGACCGGAGGGTACACTGACCTTCATCTGGCTGTATGGCCCCTTGGCAAATGGAAACAAAGACCAACACCTGCGCATGACTCTTCAATTTTGAGCCACGCCCATCTGATTTTCACCTCAAGGAGTGAAGCCACCTTTGTTCCCACTCCCATCCATCCGACGTGTTACTAGGCGCCCTTCTCATGGCGTCGTTTCTGTGGCGTCCGGCCGCGACGCCGGCCAGACCCCCGCTCATCGCGCGGTGCAGGGCGCTCGGAGGCCCGTCCTCGTTTCGGGTGTGGACACCTTTTTGGGGAACCGGAGCCACAAAATCACGGGGTTGTCCTCTTCCGTTTGAACCCGACCAACAGAAGGTGGTTTGCTGCAACTGCAAACTTCATGACAGCGGGTCCGACCCAGTGCCCGAAGGAAAAGTCGTAAAAAGAGACCTGCGCGGCTGAGATCCGGAAGAAAAGGTCTCCGGATTGCCTTTTGGTGGCAACAAGCTGCTTCTTGTAGCTCATTGCCAAAGCAAGGCTGAGCCCATGGCAGGGTCCGGCAGCAAATATCTACGGCACAGCTCCTGCCCAGCGCGCGAGCGAAGCTTGGCTCTCAGGAAGTCCATTCAGGTGAGAGCTAATCCGTTTAGTGGCGGTCCACTGGAACCAGTATTCTAGGGGACACTTGGATCCGAATCTTTTCAGAAAAGCAGATTCCAAGGGATGGAAATGGAATCAGTCCATGGGGAATCAACCCCTAGAAGTATCCGCCCAGTCATCTTGCTGAGCGAATGCAAGCTCGACAATGTTCAGCTTTCAGATTGGATGAAACAAGTGGGTGTGTCTCAAAATAGGATATGGAGCCCCAAACATTCTGGTGTCCGAAAGAATCGCGCCCTCACAATAGACTCACCCAAATCTGCAAAAAGGCAAGGAAACTACCATGCACAACCGCAGCTTCGCATGGCTTTCCTGCTTTTCCTCATCTCGTCCTGTGCTTTCTCTATCTAACCTCTCCCTGACTTTCTCAAGGTCTAAAAGCTCCACGATGGACTTGGCCGATCAGATCACGAAGCCAGATTTCAATTGGATTTAAGCCACAGGCCGAGCCCAAACAGAGCTGAGACTTGAAGCAACTCCACTTGTGATTTTAGACAAGGGAACGGTTCTTGGTATTAGAAGGATGTCGGCAATGGCTTGTGGCCTCCTCCTTGCCCTTGATCATGACAAGCATGGGCGGAATCAGTCTCATATTCTGGCCATGGGTCGAAATCCCGGTTAGCCCCCAGTGAACATCCCAATCCCCACTAAAATAGACTAAAATGGGTGGTGCACCTGCCGCAAAATGGCACCATTGGTTTTGACCCACAGCCATATGTCTAGTTAGTCCAAGACGCTGCAATTGCGGTCACATTGAAGCGGCGCTCAGCTGCGCCTTCGACGCATCGTAGGTGGCGAATTTCAGGCCGCAGTATATCGCGGCGCCCGTCGCCGAAACCTCAGGCCACAAACATGCGGAGGGTCCACCGGAGGGTGGTTGCCACTCCCAAATCGAACACCCGCCCGATCTTGAAAGAGTCTTGCCTGTGAAGTTCTGAATAAACACGCAGTCTGCAAACCCACATCCCAGTGGCCGGCTGCTTTCTGGACCGTGCAAGAAACCGAATACCATGAAATGTTCAGAAGACCAAGTGCTAGGCTGCTAGACTTGTCGTGCCCACTGTGCCGGATCTGATTCGCCCTGATTGCTCGAGCTTCTTCAAAGGCTCGAAATTGAAGGCGACAGGACATTTGCCTCGGCTCCCCAGCGCCAGCGCCCGAGTAGAGGGCTCGCATTCCGCCCTGGCGACACACAACGCTCAGCGAGTGACTCCGGGTGACTCGAATCTCGAAGGCCGCCTCTCGCCACACGTCCCGCACCGTGCCCAGCATAGACCTCCCGATGGACTTAAATTCGTCATTGGCATTCGCCACAAGCGAAGACATGACGGTTTTCTCGCCCAGGCTGTGAGGTCTCTGCCCACTCAAATCAGCTCGCGGCGAGGGATTCCGGAAGCCCCGGATGCTGGTGGTTCGGAGCCGGTGGACGAAAAAGGCTGGTTGGGGAGACCTGGGCTTATCGGGGGTGACCTGCACTTGGGATGCTTTTTTTTGGGGGGAACGTGGACCGCCAATTTGTGTCCCCCATTTGGAGACAAACCCACCAAGCGGCTCCCCTTGGCTCCTGGCGGCATCTCCTTGGCTCCCTGCTCCATCAGCAAGGCCTGAATTCATCAATTCGGTTTCCAGTGCCAACCTTCAAACGGCTGGAAAGCTCGGTGAACCCAACAACTCAAGGCGCCCATGTTTTTTCCTGAGAGCACAACAAGCCCCAGGCCCCAAGCCCCCAAAAGACCGAAACTTGAGAGAGCACCTGCCCCAAGCACTCCCTCGGCGGATTTCGTCTCGAAACGCCTTTGGCTCCAACGAACTACCGGCCCGGCCATGCGGGCACGTGCCAGATCCAGGGGATAGGTGCACATCACCGCCGTCATCCCCGCGCCACCTCCGGCAAGAAACTTCTGGACCTGGTGAGGCCCATTCGAAGAAGCACGAAACAAAACCGCCGCGCAACACCTGTGGATGGCCCTGAAAAACCCATTTCCCACCAAAGAAACCCTGGAATCATTCAATTCCCCCGCAAATACCCACCAACACCCGGCTTCAACCGTGGCTTTTGTTGAGTGCGGCATGGAGTTCGCAGACGTGTGCAAATGGCATGGCTTGACCGCATCCCAAGCCCCTGGCCTCAGGTGAGATGCCGCCTAGCAAACTGGAAGCTTCAGAAGCAAGCGGACACTCTTTGGGTGTGTCTTTTTTTCTGAAGCTTTCGAGGCTACCCCTTGTTTGATTCGGGTTTTAAGGGAAACTACAAGAAAAACTAACTTCTTCTTCTTTTTTTTGGGGGGGGAGGTGGGTTACCTCAAAAAGAAGACACACCCAGCTGTCATCCGACGCTAGCCATGACGCCTCCTAGTTGCTTCAGCTGGCGGCGGAAGAGCCTGGCAGGTTCCGACGCTTCGCATGAAGTCTCTTGACCAAAATCAAGGCACCACGAATACGGTGAAATGACGCCAAATCAGAGGAAACGCACCACACCACCACCACCACCACCACCACCACCACCACCACCATCATCATCATCATCATCATCATCATCATCATCATCACAACCACCACCACCACCACCACCACCAGCATCATCATCAACATCATCATCATCATCATCATCATCATCATCAGCATCACAACCACCACCACCACCACCACCACCACCACCAGCATCATCAACATCATCATCATCATCATCATCATCATCATCATCATCATCATCATCATCATCATCATCATCATCACACTAGGAAACTTGCAACCACTGACAGTCAATGACAATCTATATTGACAATCCGTGACAAACAAACACCATGGCCAAAGCAAGCAAGCGAGCACAATTTTTCCGTTGTCCACAGCATCCATAAAACAAAAAAATGAGCCGCTGACTTTGACAACTCGCCAAAACCCGAGGTGAGTTGCGTCTTGGATCTCCGCTTGGGGCTCCACTCGTTGGAGGCCAGCTGGACGCCCAAGTAGGGAAAGACCTGGCAAGCGAGCTCGAAGAGCGAACTCAGGGGTCGCCATTTTGTTGAGAGAAACGAAGAAGCAAACTTTGGTCCTTTCATGTCCTTTCCAAATGGGATGTCGACCATCTAAAGTCATCCCAGGTCGAAATACTTGATTTGTGGACATTGGGGACCCTTTGGTGCACGGGAATTGTCCAACCACTTGTGCGGTTACTCTCAAACATCATACTCGAACATCAAGAGTAAGACGTTGGACTTGGACTCTACCCCGACATGTCAAAGCCATCAGAAGGGGCACCAGCACAACATTGAAACTCCCATGGTCCCATGTTCCTATGTCCTCCAAGCTCCGGTTCAATCAATGGCACCTTACGCAGACACCAAGACCCGCGGATTAACCCAGCTTCATTTTCGTTCTGGCGCCCAGTAGGGAATGCCCCAGGATTTGGGAATGAACCTACAGATTCTCTTAAAGGAAACGATAGGGGATGGTTTATAGGGGTCATTCCATTTCTCATTCCCTGCCTGCCGGGCTGAACCCAATCAAACTTCGCAAGCGGCATCTCCGTACAATTGCAGTGCCATTCCCGTCCAGCAATCAGGTTATCGAAAGCTGGCAGCGATGTGTCTTCTATCGAACACTCCGACAGAGCCTTTGCCTACGAGTCCCGCTCTCACACGCCCTCTGCGTGATCCTGAGGCTGCGATCCTCCTAAGACCCGGGCCCGTATCACAGCAATGGAGTTGCCACGCCAAAAGGCTGTCACTGAGCGGACGCCTCAGGCGCTGGAAGAACTCTCCATCCGAGTAAACAAAAAAACGATCGGTATTAAAATGGTCGTTTCTGCCCAGAATCATGTAAAGAATGTCCAAAGGCCGCTGCACCAAATTGATGCATTTATGGTTGGGATTCTCCCTTAAGCTTCATCTACCCCAGTTTTGAGTGTGACTCATCTCGTGTGACTCATCTCGTGGGGTGTTCCTTAACCCCCAAGAAAGGTTGGCGCCCATGGTACCCTACCATGACACACGCGCGGCACGCGCGCGTCCATATCCTTTGGCTCTCAACGGAAATACCTCCCGAAGTCCGCAGCTCGCTCCTTGTGGTGCCTCAAAGAAACCTCTCAAGGGTACCTTTCGCCTTGAAGAGACGCACCATGAGTGCGTCTAAACACATTGACTTTGGGCTCTACCAACACCACAGCAATATGTGTCTCTTTTTTGAACAGGAATCCGAAATCCATTTGTGTGGGGCCGCTTCCTTCCAGAACAAAACAGAAAACCATGCCCACACCGCCTCACTTTTTGGGCCCTACAAACAATCCCAAGGCACTCGACCCACCTTAGCGTCGGGGATGAGTTTTGGGCCCAGGCCGCCGCCGCTCTCATCCACCACCTTCCGGATGATGCGCAGCCAGCCCTCGCCCTGGCGAAGGATTTAGCTTCCCACGGCGGAAAAAGAACCCTTGGCATAGGTGTCCTTTTTGCTTGTTTTGCCTAAGAAATAGGGCCGGCCCTGGTTTACCTGGTGGTTCAATCATCTACCAGAGCCATCTATTTTCCAAAAAGGACACCTATGACCCATGGGCCACGACGGAACCGGTTCCGGTGAACCGGTTCCGATCAACTCGACTCCGACGTGCCGCGCTCCGGGGCTCCCATTCCATGTGCGCGAACCGCCAAATGGAAGCTCCATTTGGCTGTGGCTCCACAAAACCGGAATTCCAAAATGGATCCCTGGTAAGTGGAATGGACCCAAACCTGCGGTTTGCCCCTCCTGGCTTTCTTTTGAGCCACACCCATTTTGTGTCAGGCGACTCTGAAAAAGGCAACGCCAGCCGCGCCGCGGACTTGGAATTGATCTGATAGATGATCTTGATCTCAGCCGTGCCACGACATCACCCGAGCCCTTCCCGGCGCCGCGCCGATGCGAAAAACCCGCATCTCACAGGGAACATTGGACCCCGCAAGAACGCAAAACTGGCTCAACAAAAGCCCGGGGATCGTGCAGATCAACTCATAACCCAACATTCAACGCTTGAACTCCCGAGCCCCATGGGCCCCATGCCCGCTCCACCGGCGCAATGACCGTTCTGGCCACCTGACATGTGGGATGCTCCCCAAAACATTGGGAGCCCTCGTTTCGCTTGGGTAGAACCAAGTCAAAGGAAGCACTTTGCACCCTCTGGACTTGCAGCTGGAAGGATGGAAGCTCAACTTCACCGGGTCTTGTGCTCTTGGGAGCCAAGCAGCATAAAACAAGTCATATCATGCCTGTTCCGATGACAAGTGGCATGATCACGATCACAATCCTCAGCATCATCCTCATATCCTCGCATCTCCATCCCCATTTTCCTCCTCATCATCGGCATCATCAGCATCAACAGCCTCATGTGCCAAACAGTCGTCACAGTGAACAAAACATACAGCAGCCTTGGTCGTCTCTTCGACCAAAAACAAGTAACCGCAAACAAACTAAACCCCAACCACACCCTGTTCATAGGGGGTCACCCTCTATGGATTCCCGTCAAAGGGACCCCTTCAAAGTTCTATGAATCCGGGCCTAATATTAAGTGGCCGTCGCTTCTCCCGTTTGGATTTCACCCCCGGTGCTCATGGCTTGGATCCGACGACTCCCAAGTCGGAGCAAAGGGCGCCGGCTAGGCCATGCCGGCCACGCCGCCGCACACGAAGTGCTCGCCCGTGCGGCGCCACTCGCCCATGGCGCCCCGTTTCAAAAACGGGCGCCGAAAACGGGCGGCCGCCGGTTGGTGTCTAACGAGTGGGGGGGAGGGGGTGGAGAAGAGAGTTTGGGTGAGAGTTTAGTGGGGTGCGAGCTCGATAGCCACGGTTGCAGATGATATTGTGCTGAACGACTATTTGAGAATGCCTCGTGGGCACCAAAGAAGTTCGTAGGACTTGAATCGTCATGTACCCAACTCATATTCGGTCGATTGCTTTGGAAGCGCTTCTGGAAGCTCCGCAAACGAGACATGAGCCCAGTTCACAAGAGGCGGGTCGCTTTCCTGTGCATCCGTTGCCGGCATCGAATCGACTCCATGTCGGCTTTTCAAAAAAAAAAAACAGTCTCCTGCCGATGGCTCAGTGCTCGAGGGAACGTTTTGAAAGGAAGCCCCAGCTTTGAGAGCCTCCAAAGGTATCGCCGACGCTTTCAGCGACCAAAGCTTTTGTAAGGAATGTCTCCATGGGTCTTTGGGAACTTCCACGTCACGTATTCCCAGCTCAAGGCGCGTTGGGTCAAATTTGAACCACCAGATGGACCGGTGAAGTCGTCCATGTTTCCATTTACCGATGGGGCAACCCATTTTCGGGTTACCCACGTTTGTTGACCCACGGCCACTCCGTCTCGCTCAGCGCTCGAGGCTCGCTCAAGCCGCGTTGTCCTTTGGCTCGTTGAGCTTCTGCAACTCCGAGCCCTGCTCGAGAGTCCGTGCCGGCCGATTGACCTCGGCATGACGCATCGCGCGTCAGCGCAAGGATCTGGGAGCGCTGAGTCTGGCAAGCCAGAAGTGAGTCAGAATCGAAACACGCGGGTATCGCAAAATCTCGGTTGACGTTGGAAGGGGAGCAAAAAAACAAGTTTTAGCAGGTAAGTGGTTGGATTTCAACCACTAAACCACAACAAGCAAAAATGTCGAATGTTTCCCAACAACAACCATGAAATGCTCGCATTCCCACCGTGTGAAGAATGACAAAGGCGGGTCTGTGCGCCCATCTATGGTTTTTCGCCGGGGGTTTGAGCAAGTGACCTCATCTGCCCCATGCCCCGCGGATTTTTTCCGGGGCACCTTGTTCTGGTAGGCCAGGAAATAGCCGCCGATGCCCAGCACCAGGCAGATTGCCAAGAGCCCCCCACCAATCCTGGCGAAGCAAGTGGAGTGCCAAGTCCGCCCCCACCCCCCCCACCCCCAAAAAAAAGAGAAAGAGGCGACACACCAACAAATCAAAGGCGGCCTACTGAAGCAAGGTGCCCCATTCTGCCCTTCTCATGAAGTCTGGTTCTTTCTTTGTTTTTTTCTCGCGCCAAGGTCTCTGTCAACTGTTGGCCCCCCCCCCCCCCCTGGCCCCTGAGGCCAGGGCAGCGGCCGCATGTAGAGCCACATCAGCGCGATGACCAGGAAACCGAGGGAACAGCCGCAGCAGCAGCTCACCACACAGAGCAGGCACGTTACCATGCCTTGCCCGGCCGCATGGTACTTGGCCATGGGTCAAAACCCCGGTTAGCCCCCAGTGAACATCCAATCCCCACTAAAATAGACTAAAATGAGTGGTGCACCTATCCCAAATGGTACCATTGGTTTTGAACCATGGCCATTTCTTTCTTTCTCCCACAACACACTTCCTGAGTGGATGGGACAAGAAACGAACAGAGCAAAGGAGCGCCTTTTCTAGTTTTTGTCCCTGAAGGTGACCTGGTTTACGATTCGACCCTGGCACGACAAAGCAGAGAGCTGCAGTCGTTGCGACATCCGCTTCCGAGAAACCCCCCACCTTCCAAGAGATCCTCCAAGAGACCGCCCACGCACGGGATGATCCGAAGGCCTCAGTCACTCAACGCTGATGTCTCAAAGTTTCAGTCGGAACCAATTGGACAAAGTCCGGCAACATCTTACTCGATGGTCATCCCACAATATCCTCCATCACCACGGCACTGTCTTGAAAGGCGAAAGGAACATCCACCGACTCGGATTAACAAATCCGGACGGGGCCCACGCAATCCCCAACGACGTCAATGGAGGCCGAAATCGGCTGGAAGCAGCAGTACCTGCAAGCAACACGTCTGCTCAGTTGCTCAGTTGCATCTTGCGTTCCGGTCACTCTTCCTGAAGCCTAGGCCATCAAACCTTGACATTCATGTTTTTGAAGCACCCGAATTGTTGCATTTGTCTAAAGGAAAAGGAAAAAGAACGGCGGCCATGCCGCCGTGCATCATCGCCCTTTGAGGCACACGGCGATCCAGGCGAAGCACAGGCCCAGGAAGCGCATCATCCAAGTCGATGTCTGAGCAACGGCTCGCGTCAAAAGGAGCCGAATGGCGAGCCACAAAGCAGCGCAACTTCCCAGGGCCGCATTTTTTTGGGGGGATTCGAGTTTCTAAGCGAAGATAAGAGCTCGGTTGACGTTGCAAGGGGAGCAACAATTTGAATCTTAGCGGTTAAGTGGTTGGATTTCAACCACTAAACCACAATAAACAAAAATGTATATATATATATATATATATATATAAAAACACAGCAACAATCATGAGAGAAGGCTGCGGGCAAATCTGTGCCCAAATCAGTGGCCTTCCCAGGCCTGAGCTTTCGGTGGACTTTTAGGTCAACTCGGACTTTGAGGTCCAAAAGTCCAAAAAATACCATATTGAATCTCAGGGTCAGACGAGGTCCGAAGAAAAAAAAAGAAAGGAAAAAAAAGCTCGGAGAGCCAGCATTTTGGGGCGCTGTGTCGGAAAATCATGGGCTCCAAGTAGGGCTGACGCAGCATTCTGCCTGGAAAGGAGGCAGGGGCTACTTCTCGGATTCATGGCCAGCCTTACGCGTCGTGCCTTACGCCCGACTTGCGCGCCGAATGCAAACACTCTGCAAAAGAGTTAAGGGGATCTTCACCAGAGTCTCCTGCAAAGGAAACCACCTGTTTTCCAATCTCTTCGGCAGGGTGTGAGCTGGTGCAATCAAAGCACTATAGGAACTAAAGAGGTGCGTGCACCACGCTGCCGGAACTTTGTGCGCCAGGTTTTGGCATAGCTCAAGTCTAGCAAAGGCCGAAGTTCACTCGGTACATTCAAAGCCAGGGTCCACATGGTCTGGCACCAGGTGCTCAGGACCCATCACCCTACCCCCTTTTACAAAGAGAGCGGGACGCTGTGAGAGTGCGCTTGTTTCACATTTCGAGTGGAAACTCAAGTTTATGTTTGTTAGTAGGATTGTGATCAAGTATTTCCTCATTGAACACCGCTTAAATCGTATTCAAATTCAAACTGTTTTTTAGAGAGCAGCCATTGGTGGAGATGTGAATCGAGCACGAAAAACACTACACAACACTGTGTTGTACGGTGTTTTCTCACCATGGTAGTGCTATAGGGCTAGTAAAAAAAAACACATTTCGGGACCTCTGAATTATTCCTTCTGACATCTCCTCAATATCTTTGTCAAATTCTACTCAATGTCTAACTGAAATGAAATGGAAATTGTTAAGCGAAGACTCTGATCAAATTGTCTATGATAAGTTAGATTTGCAAATTATGATTCTTCTGATTCAAAATCATAATGCTACACGGGAGTTCCTCTTCAATAGAATTGCCCTGACAAATCAGTAAGCATCTAAACAACATGCATTAAACATTCTCGGTATGTCTGGTGTCTTTCCTTGTAAATTCTACTTGATCTATTTATCAAATTTTACTTAATACCTATCTCATTAAATAGAACTTAATCATGAAATAATCCAAACAAGAGCTTAAACTTCAAGTATAAATTGAATAATGAGCATTCTATTTCAAAATAAATGTTAAACAAGATCTCCTTGCCGATCGAGTTGTATCTGCAAATCAATAGACATTTAAACATGTTCCTAACAATTTTGGGACCTCTACTTTCTTTCTTACAAACTCTACTTAATATATTTGTCAAGTGATACGTGTACAACTTTAACTAAAATCAAGAGGAATGTTAGAAGGAACGGGTTCAACCAGAGGAAACCATCTCTAACTTACTGTACTGGGGCTTGGAGATGAAGTATACCAGCTCTCTTGATCACAAAAGCTCTTGCAAACTGGCCGGAAACGGTACAGTGCAAAAAACAACTCGAGACGACGAAAACAAATCATATTATACCCCCCAAATCAGGACAGTTGATAGAGTCCATTTTGTTTGTTTTGTTGGTTTTATCGAGGTGTTTCACACTTTTCCAAAGAAATGCAAAAACAACTCAAGAAAAACAACAACTTAAAACAAAAAGACTACCCCCCCCCAAGTCAGGACAGCTAACATAGTCTTTTTTTGTTTTTTGTGTTTGTTGTTTTGATTTTCTCAAAGTTTTTCACACTTGTTCAATTAAACACCAAAAACTGTGTGTTTCCTGAAAGAATCACTATACTACAATCACAAAAAAGCGCACGCTCAGGGTGGCCTGTTCTGTTCACAAGAGAACCCTGCCCATGGTTTCTGCCTCCCAAGCTCACTCTCCGTGCAAAGCGGCCCCATCTCCAGGGCCGCGGCGGTGTTCGCCTCCTCCAGCATGGTGCTGAAGGCTTGCTTGGAGCTGATGCCTCCCTCCCTCGGTGATCCGTTTTTCGGGGCGGCGGGGCGCTCCACCGGACTTCCGAACTTGCTACCGCGCCCAAACCCCACAGAGCTGCTTGAAATCCACGTCCGAGGCCACGGCAAGGCTTGATACTTGTCAGGGGAGCAGCCTCAAGTCTTGCAGAAATGGAGATGCCCTTTGTTTTTTCTTAATGCTCTATTGTGCCTCGTCAAAGTTTGGCCATGTTCTTTACTGTCCAAAAGGCTGCCTTAGGGCGGATAGTTTTTCAGCACTACCTCAGCGCCTGGCCCCAACTGGCAGGCACATCCACCGGCACGGTGTAGCCTATGCCACGACATGGCCCAAGACTCGTGTTTTTTTTTTGTTTTTTTTGCCTGAGTGGCAAAGCCCCCAATAGGGCTGGGCATCTGAATGGTATCTGAAAGGATGCCAACACCAAGGCCTTGTCATGCTCAGGGCCGCCTTTTCGAATTTTTCCGCCCCCGGTTCTTCCCAAAGTTCGCCTCCTTT